TGGTTATGCGCTGTGCCCAGCTTGCATGTGACCTGCTTGTATTGACGTATTCACCAGGCGCGGGTGGGAGATGAATCCCACTGCCCAAGAAAGGCAGCTCCAAGAAACACTGATAAAGACTTTGGCGGGTACCTAAGGAGTCTGGATTCTGGTCCTGCTGTGCTGTGGTGTGTGCCAAAGCCCTTGCTCTTTGAGTCTACGTGTGATTAGGGCAAGAGGGAGTGGTGGGGTGAGGAATCTTTATTCTCTACCAGGCGGTGTCTCAGGAGCGGGAGCCGTGAGAGTCCTCTGCCACCTGCAGCCCAGAGCAAGGAATGTGGTCCTCAGTCAAGGTCCTTCCCGACCTGCTATGCTGAATGTGGGCCCTCTGGGCAAGTCACTAGGAGGCTTCACTGCGATATTTTCAGGTTTTTTGTGGTCGAGGAGGGCAGGGCCACGAATCATGCTCCTTATCAAGGTCTACAGCAGGCGTATTCCCCAACATCAATTGTTTGCATAAACCAGAGGTTTCCACCTATATAGAGGTGCCCGGCTCACCAGCTCGCCGGAACGCAGAGATACTCCCTTTTGCCACTAGAGGGCTGCCATGTGCAAAGGGAAAGCAGAGTGCGTTTGCGGACCGCCCAGTGGCTTTTGGGGACATGGGTTCTCAAGAGAATGAAAGCAATGCCAGGCCATGATAGTTTCCTCACATGACTGGGCTCGGTGGGATTACAACTTGCATAATTAAGCAGTAATTAAGATTCGGCAAATTAATAGTCCTAGTAGTGTAGCCGCAATGATATTAACGAGAATGGTATTAGTGCTGCAGTTTGAAAGCTTCATGTATGTTTCATGTATGAGACTCATGCACACACACGAGTCTCTCTCTCTGTCTCTGTGTCTGTCTGTCTGTGTCTCTCTCTCTCCCTCCCTCTCTCTAACGACCTCCGCATAGTGCCCCACACTGAGACTCAAGTCGTTGAACTGTGGGCTTTCATGGTTAGGATGAGAAATGTCAAATGATCATACAGTGAAGATTTGGTCCTCAATGCAGCCATGTCAGGGGGTGGGGCTTTGGGAGTGGCTGGATCACTAGGGTTCTAACCCCAGCGATGGGCTGTTGGGAGGGGATGGCTGTGAAGCTTCTCCTGAGTCTAATTCTTTCTTTTTTAATTGATTTTTTTTAACTTCTTTTGAGAATTTATATACGTGTCAACAGGAGAAGAATGATGTAAACACCGTTGTGGTCACTCCTGATTATTTTATAATAAGAATTCAGAAGGCTACAGAAACTATTAAATACTCCTACTTTTGGTTAAAAAAATAAACACATAACCGTTTATGTTGTGAGACAGAGTCGCGTGCAGTGCAGGCTAACCAGTCAGGGATGGTTTTACATCTCCACTCCTCCTGCTCTACACTGAGTGCTGGGATTGCATGCAAGCTCCAGCATGCTGGGTTTGTAAAGCATTGGGGATCAAACCCAGGGCTTTGTGTGTTGGAGGCCACCATCCTACCAACAGCTCTACTCCCGCAGCCCAGCAGAGTACTGAAGCATTGAGAAGCACGTATGCAGTATATTAAATTTGAAAGACAATTTACTTAAATAGCATTTGTGTTTACCAAAAACAGCCCATCTATGTATGTTTTATAATAAGAAAGCCTTTATTTACTCCTGCTGTTAAAAATACTTACTATATCAGATTTGGGTTTTTTCCTCAGCTGGTGTGAGCTGAACTTCCTGTCACTTGCAGGGTCCTGTTACCCTCTGGGAAAGGCTAATGCATGAGGCAATGTTTTTTTGGCAGGATTATTACTGAGGGCATCATTTTCACCCAGAAGTCAACCTCTCTGCAAGAAGCAGCTTTTGTGGACTGTAGATGGCCCTCAGGAAATGCTAAACATAGCTCCCGCGATGACGGTCGTTCTTTCTCCCTCCCTCCCTCCCTCTCTTTTTCTTTTACTGATAATTTTTAATTATTTATTTTATGTTTATGGGTGTTTGCTTGCATGTATATCTGCGCATCACATGCAAGTCTGATGTTTGGGAAGGTTAAAGGAAGGCATCAGATCCCCCGGAATTGGAGCTATAGACTCTCGTGGGCTATCATGTAGGTGCTGGGAGTCAAGCCTGGGTCCTCTGGAAAAGCAACAAGAATTCTAAACCACTGTGCTCTCTCCAGCCCCGTTGCTTCTGTAGCAGCAATCTTTCCCTTCTCAAGAGAGTAGCCCAGCCTGCTGTCTTTCTTCTCTCCCCGTCCCCTTCCCTCCCCTCCCCTCCCCTTCCTCCCTTCCTCCTCTCCTCTCCCTCCCTTCCTCCCCTCCCCTTCCTTCCTCTCCCATCCTCTCCTCTCCTCTCCTCTCCTCTCCTCTCCTCTCCTCTCCCTCCCTTCCTCCCCTCCCCTTCCTTCCCCTCCCCTCCTCTACCCTCCTTCTCTGTTCCCCTCCTCCTCACCACACCTTTCATTCCTTTTTTTCTTCAGTGCTGGGGATTGAATTAGGATCCTTATACACGCTAGGCAACTCCTTTGCCATTGAACTATACTCTTGTGCAGTAGCCTGGATTTTCTTTGGGAACTTTTTCTTTCCTCTCTCAATCCCACAATCCAGGCAGGGATGGCCCTGACCGAACCCAACTCCAGGGTTGCATGTGTGATCCACACCTTACCACAGCCACTGGCTTAGCTAAGAAAGGGCATTGTGTTGGTTAGTTTTATGTCAACTGGTCACCAGCTAGCATCATTTGGGAAGAGGGACTCTGAATTGAGAACATCTCATAAGCTTTGTCTATAGACAAGTTTGTGTTGCTTTTCTTGATTAATGAGTGATATGGATTGGTCCATCCCATTGTGGGTGGTTCCATCCCTGGGCAGGTGGTCCTGGGTTGCATGAGAAGGCAGACTGAGTAATCTATGAAGAACAAGTCAGCAAGCAGCATTTCTCCATGGCCTCTGCTTCAGTTCCTGTCTCTAGGCTCCTCTTTGAGTTTCTGTCCTGACTTCCCTAAGTGATAGAGTGTGACCTGAGAGTGATAAAATGAGATAAAGCCTTCCCTCCCCAAGTTGCTTTTGGTCATAGTGTTTCTTGTTTTTTTTTTTTTTTAACTTTTACTTTTTTAAGCCACCCTCAAATAGATAGCAAGTTTTCTTTTTTTTAATTAAAATTAAAAGCAATCTTATTTTACATACCGATCCCAGTTCCCTCTCCCTCCTGTCCTCCCATACCCCCCACCAATCCCCCATTCACTCCCCAGGGAGGATGAGACCTCCCATGAGGGATCACCAAAGGCTGTCACATCATTTGGGGCAGGACCTAGGCCCTACCCTCGTGTATCTAGGCTGAGAGAGTATCCCTCCATAGGGAATGGGCTCCCAAAGCCCATAGGGATGAATATGGTTCCATTGCCAGAGGCCCCATAGATTGCCCTGGTCTGGTCATGGTATTTTTCTCAGCAAGCATAACTAAGGCAGGCCGAGTGTGGTGTGCTGTGTGGGCAGGGCCGCATTTGAGCGCTTTCTCTGCTGATTCTGCACATGGAAGGACGAAAGTTTGGTGTTCTGATGATGGCCACCTTCCACTGTGTGGAGTCTGAGGACGAAGCCAACATGGAGAAGACAAAGGCAGACTGTGAAGAGGCATGGAGCTTCTCTCAGAAATGGAGCCTGAGTCTAGCTGCATGGGCCCCATCTCATTTTTCCTTTGCCTCGGCTGGTGTGGGTTTGGCTTTCTGGTGCTCACCCTGGGAAGTATCTTGACAGTACAAGTTAGTACATAGAATTGGCTGGTTGGGGTTTGCAAGTGAGACTAAAATACAGAACTGGCCAGGTTGACTCAGGGCAAGCAAGCCTTTCTATTCTTGGCGGGTAACTAGTGACTCGTGCTATGTAGTAATGAAGGAGCCATGAGCTGCCCATTGGACACATTCACCATGCACCCGGGAGCATTAGGAGGTGAAATGACTCAAGTTGATGTGTTCCTCTTGCTGCTTGCAGCAACAGCTTATACCAAAGAAACAAACCCACGGGCTGTCCTGGTGCCTGTTCACTGTGCAGGGACCTAGGGACATTACCCGCCCCAGGACGCAAGGCTGTGCTGTTTCAGTGGCATACAGGAGGCACCTAGGCTAGTCAGATCCATGGAGACAGCAATAAAATGGTGGGTACCAGGGGCTGTAGGGTGGGGCAGGAGTTGGTCAATGAGTGCAGAAGTTTACAAGATGAAGAATGTTCAGGAGATGGGTTGTGGTGATGCCTGCATAGGGCACGAGTGTGCTGAGCAGCACCAAACTGATGGTAATATTTATATTGTGTGTATCTGGCCACAGTTTTATAGACAGCCTGCAGTAAAGGGAGAAAAATACAGCTTTGTTCAGAAAGGCCTTTCATTGTGTGGCCTGCAGTCCTGGGCTCAAAGTCCCAGGTACAAGTTGAAGTTACCACACAAAGGAAGAAACAAAGCTGGGGATTAGGGGGGTGATAGTCACTATTGAATGTCTCCACCTCCTGTGTTTATATGACACAGCATGGTGAAGGTATGTGCCTTTTAGGTGTGTGTGTGTGTGTGTGTGTGTGTGTGTGTGTGTGTGTGTACACACGTGTGTGAAGGCCAGATGGCAACTTTGGACCATTCTTCAGGAATTATCACTTACCTTTTTAGTAGAGGTTTTGGGGGGCTGGAGAAATGGTTCAGCTGTTAAAGGCTTAGGCTCACACTTAATTGGAAGATTTTTAATTGTATGTATTTATTTATGTGAGTGTGTTCATGTGTGTATATGCCACAGCACATATGTAGAGGTCAAAGAACAACTTTGGGGAGTCAGACCTTGAAGGGTCCCTCGGATGGAAGTCTTGGTCATCAGATTTGGTGGCAAGTGCCTTTACCCACTGAGCCATCTCACCAACTCCATTTAAAAATTATTCAAGACAGAATCTCTCATTGGCCTGGAACTTGACAATTAGTTCTGGCAGGTTGGACAGTGAGCATTAGGGAGCCCCTTGTGCCGAAATTACAAGGGCACATAACCACACCTGTCTTTTTTATTTTTTAATATGGATACAAGGCAAACATGTTATCATCTTATGCTCTGAGTACACCTCTGCACAGACGGGAGATAGAGGCACAAGGAGGCTAAGTAAATAAACCCTGCTATGGCTTGAGTGTGAGATGTCACCAAGTATCTGACCACTTGGTCTTCAGCTTTGATAACTCTTTGGGGGGGGATAAGGGGGTTGTGGAACCTTTAGGAGGTGGAGCCTAGCTGGAGGGCGATGGGTTTTAGATGTTATGGCCTAGTTCTGCGTCTGGCATGATAGCTCTGCTTCCTGGTCTAACAAAGTGAGGTCCAGAAGCCTCATGCTCTGGCCTCCTCATTGATGAACCACTTCTGCAGTCATGGTGAATTATACCCTGACACAGCAAACTCAAACCGGTCCCTCTCCTTCATTGCTTCCTGTCAGGTATTTGGTTAGAAGGATAAGGGATGTGGCTGATATACCAATCAAGCAAGTGACAGGGCCAGGGTGTGACCTAACCCTAGCTTCTAACATCTGCCCGGCATGGGCCCTGACAGCGGAGCTGTTCTGCCTCTCCGTCCTCAGTCTTCGCCCAGTTCTCTGGAGTCACTTGTAGCCCAGGCTGGCCTGAACCTTGCTGTGTAGCTGAGGGTGATCCTTTTGCCTCCATGTCCCGAGAGGGGGTTATAAGTATGTACCTCTATGCCCAGCTTATAGGGCTTGAGCCCAGGCAAGCACCCCACAGATGAACCTACCTCCTACAGCAGACAGCACAATGGAAGTTACTGATTAGGGCACTGAGGTCTCTCTCTTCCCATGGGTGGGCATTTCCAGGAATGGAAGCTGACCCCTGCCAGCATCTCTGGCTTGTGATTGCCCCATGGCATGGATGGAAGCTCCTGGGACTCTGAGGGAAGTGGGCTATAGAGGCATTGACGTCGGTCTCACAAAGGTTTGCTGACCCCTGGGCAATCTGTCCCCCCCCCCCCCCCCGCCAGTGAGAAACAGAATGTGACTTACGTCACCAAGTGCAGCAGGATAGGCTGTCTTGCCCTTCCCTGGTGGCGCTTTCCTGCTTCTTGTGCCCTTTATCCCATAGACTGTCCCTTCTGAAGCACACACAGTCTTTTGGTACTCCCAGAGAAAGCCCTGGTCCTCAGTGTAGCGTTCTGCTCTCAGCCCTCTTGATGAACATCTATACAGCAGCCAGTCGGCCCAGGCTCACACCATGGGCCAGGGCAATTCTGGTTACCTGCACAGCCAGCCCTGGGGCTGGAAAGTGTCTTGACCTCATCTTGTGAGCACCCTGTCCTTGTGGCTGTGGGACATCCCTCTGTGTGTGCCTCTGGGCTGCATAGAGAGGCTGTGTCTAGGGCAGGCTGAGCATATGGACATTAAGTCATTGCCTGGTTCAGGAGGAGAGTAAAAGGAACCATCAAGAAAGAGTCAAATTACAGATAATCTGTGGCCCAGAAGAACCAGGCAATGGTGTGGTTGCTACCTGCTAGGGAGACTTGTCCCAGCAAGATGAGCTTACTGGGCCAGGAAAAAAAAAAAAAAAAAAAAAAAAAAAAAAAGAGCAAAGGCAAGCCCTCCTGAGGTGGGAAAAGACAGAGACAAGTCCTCCTGAGGTGAGGTCTTGACTGTATAAGGCATTTCCTCAACAGGAGGACTTTCCTATTACAGTGCCTGCCCAAGAAAGGAGAACCTTAAGGACCCGTGGTTCTAAGCAGTGTCATTCAACGGTGCTCACACTTGACAATGAGAATTTGATTGCCCAAATTAGTTATTGTAAATAGACAAAGAATAATTATATATGTTTATGTCATACAAATAATGTTATGATACGTATGTATACAGTTTGCAGTGTTTGTATGTATGCAGTTGCAGTGTTGCAGGGAACTAATTAGCATATCAGTTCCCTTAATTACTTATTCCTCTTTAAAAACTTTTAAAATCAATATTATTTATTTAGTTTGTACACATGGGTGTTTTGTCTACATATATGTCTGTGTACCATGTATGTGTCTGGTGTTTGAGAAGGCTGGAAGAAGTCATCAGATCCCTTGGAACTGGAATTACAGATGGTAGTGAGCCACTGTGTGGGTGCTGGGACTTGAACCTGGGTCTTCTGCAAGAGCAGCCAATGCCCTTAACCTCTGAGCCACCTCTCCAGCTCCAATTGCTTACTGCATTTGGTGAGAACACTTAAAACTTAGTTTTAGTATGTGTGTACATGTGTGTATGTATGTGAGCCTGAGTGTGTGTGATCACACGGGTGCCAGAGGACAGCCTTGGGCATTGTTTCTCAGGTGCCATTTCCTGTATTTGTTTGTTTGTTGTATTTGCTGGCCTGAGGTTTCTAGGTAGACGAGGCTGGCTTGTCCGTGAGTCGAAGGGTCCACCTGCCCGTCTCCCCCACCGTTTTGGGGTTACAAGCATTCACCATTACATCCAGCTTTGTTTGTGTTTTGTTTTTCAAGACAGGGTTTCTCTGGGTGACAGCCTGGGCTGTCCTGGAACTCACTCTGTAGACCAGGCTGTCCTCGAACTCAGAGACCTGCCTGCCTCTGCCTCCTGAGTGCTGGGATCAAAGGTGTGCGCCACCAACGCCTCCCCGATAAGTTTTATACTATTGACTGCTCTCTCCAACTTCTGTGAATTTGATTAGGGGCAGCCAACCAGAGACTGCTGGACAGTGCTAACCTGTGACCACATCACAAACACCCTCAGCTTCCGCAAAGCCTCTTTTGCCTTGGGTTCACATTTTCCCTCTTGTGCGATGTGGGGCCTTTGCAAGCAGACCTTGTAACCTGGCAGTTCAGGGGCTGCTTCAGTCTTGTGTTTTTCTTCGTATAGTATTGTGTGTTAAAGATATGCATTTTTCACCTGCATCAGAAATGGAGTCGTTTGTCATCTCACCTCGGGTTCTCAGCTCCCCTGGAAACCTGGGGAGCATTGACCCCACTGGAGCAGTTGCCACTCAGTGAGCACCCTCAAACCTGAGTGGAGAGTTCACCAGGACCCCTTGACTCCTTCAGGTGTCCCTCTGTCCTGGAGGCTTGGGTTTAGCGAATCTGTATTCTCCATGATCCAGCCAACAGAGGCATTCCAGAATTGCTTAGGATCTGCAAGAAAAGACAGCCAGGCTGGTGGCAGGATAACAGGCTGAAATGAACACGATTCGTTTCTTTTGCATGTTTGTGAATTATAAGCAATTCTCTCAGCAGACTTTGCCTATAGGACTTAGTGGGACAGAGAACAAGGCAGCCTGGTAATAGGGCTAACCTGTGCTACCAATCTAAGTTGCCGAAGGGATTATAGGTGTTTTGGGGTGGGAAGGAGAGGGTCCTGAAGGGGTGTGGTGAGAGGAGGCGTGCTTATTCTAGGAACGTGAAGAGGTCCGGGGTTTCTTAGGGCAGCAGGGTCCACCGCTCACTGACATGCTACTGAAGTGGCCACAGGGTAGGGCCACAGGCTGAGAGGCCGTCTTAGCGGCAGTGTAACCATGAAAGCACAGCCAGCTGCGCTGACTTAAAGAGATGGTGGCTGACTGTCCTCATAAGCCCTTGGGGACCTTGAGGCTACTTGTAAAGATGAGGACCCTCAAAACTGGCGGAGGGGGAAGGAATGGAGTGTGGCAGACACTTCATCGTGGATGCCTCTGGGAACATCACATGACCAGTAGAAGCCAGTCTCTGGGAATCACATGTAAAACCCATGGGTGTGGGGGCAGAGCTGGGACAGAGGAGTGGGATTTCCTTTGTGGTTGAACCTTCTAGAATGAGATCGTAGAAATGGCAGGCAAGCTTGTGAGTATACTAGAGGATGATGAATTATAGAAAATTGTATTAAAATTATTTGTTTTTTTTGGGGGGGGGTTGAGGCAGGGTTTCTCCAGGTTGGCCTTGAGCTCACTAAATAACCAAGGATGACACTGAACTCAAATGCTGGGACTGCCTGCAGGCACTGCCATGCCCAGGTCTAAAAATGATCCATTTAAATTATTGTCTAAATTGATCTCAATGAAAAGAGTCTTAAAAGCTGAAATAAAATTTCCTTTTACCTCAGTGGGACAGTGACCCCAAATTACACTTCAGTTGGTTTAAAAAAAGGAAATGCCACCTCCTGCCCCCAACTCTGGGTTTGTGGGTCAGGAGTCACAGTTACATAATGGTGGGAGGGGACAAAGTCAATATTCTGAGAAACAAGAAGGAATGCTGGGTCACCTGGCACAGAGCCTTCTAGACATGGGAACCCGCCTCTGAGCAGATTGCAATGGGAGCTGCCCTGATGGACAAGGAGCCGGGCTGGGGATGTATTCCTAGACATCTGCTTCTTTTAAAAAAATGTGGTGTGTGTGTGTGTGTGTGTATGTGTGTGTGTGTGTGTGTGTGTGTGAGAGAGAGAGAGAGAGAGAGAGAGAGAGAGAGAACAAATTGTGGGAGTTGATTTTTCTCTTCCACCATATGGGCTCCAGGAATTGAACTCACATCCTCAGCTTTAGCAGCAAGTGCCTTTACCTGCTGAGCCATCTCGCCAGCCCATCCAGAACTCTGCTTCTTGTGCCCACGTCAGTTCTGATCAAGCCTGTTTAGCAATATGTGATGTAACTATGGAGGCTCTGTTGTCCCATGCAGGAGTCTGCATCTGAGGCATTGCCAGCAGGGGCCCAGCATCCTACTACCCCTGTGGTCCAAACCAAGGCCTCACACACCCCCCCACACACACACACACACACACACACACACACACACACACACACACACACACACACACACACACACTTGCTCCTGAGGGCCAGCTGGGGCAGATTTAGCCTTACATGTCCAAGAGGAGGGCCAGCTTAGGGACTCTGTCTCTCTCAGGGCCAGGGAGCATGAGTGCCACCTCAGTGGCTGTGGCTGTCATGACAGGTCCTCTCTGTGGTTTCAGCAATCCCTCACTGGCTGAGGTAGTCCGAGTTTGAGCACCCAGAGCAGCTAATGCAAGGATTTGAGATCAAGCTGGTTTGGGGGCAGTGGTTCCAGGAGGCACTGGGAGGGGGAGCAGGGGGGTCCACTAGGGGCTGTGAAGACTCCAAGGGTTGGGTCTTGTCTTGGATCAGACCCTGAAGCCTGCTGGTCAGGGCTGGAACACTGCTAAATCAGCCCCCTGCCAATGCCTGGCTACTAACTCCTGTCCCTTCTGTCTAGATCAACGATTCACAGCAAGAGCCTCCTTGCTGACCCCCTGCTCCAAAGGAGCCTTGCACTTACTCCAAAGATAATTTTCCTACAGTTGTGGTCATTGACTCTAACCTGTTGCAATGTCTTTGATGCTTCTTGTTTGCAGCTTTAAACCCGGTGCTCCACCCAGGCACGTCTCTAGAGGTGTAGAGAAGGGTCTCAGAACTAAAGGAGAGATACTGGTCAGTTTCAATCCAGGAGGCTTAGACGGCAACAGACCCTGTGCCTGTCTTCCATTCTCCACTTCTTCCTTTTTGCTTTTCTTTTCTTTTTTCTTTTTGGTTTTTTGAGACAGGGTTTCTCTGTAGCTTTGGAGGCTGTCCTGGAACTCGCTCTGTAGTCCAGACTGGCCTCAAACTCACAGAGATCCACCTGTCTCTGCCTCCCGAGTGCTGGGATTAAAGGAGGGCCGCACCGCGGGGCCCTCCACTCCTCCTAATACAGCTCCTGCACCATCAGCACTACCATCAGCGCCATCCACCCAGGGTCTTTAGCTCTTGTACTTACTATATAGTCGAGCATGACCTTGACTAACACTCAGTTAATGAGGTGCCAGGGATGGAACCCAGGCCTTTGTGTATACGAGGTGTCTTAGTTTCCTGTTGCTGCGAAGACACACCACAACCTAGACAACCTACAGTAGAAAGGCTTTATAGGGGCTCACACTTCCAGAGGCTGGCAGTTCACATCATGGCACAGAGCATGGCCCCAGGACAGGCAGGCATTGTGTGGGGCAGTAGCTGAGAGCTAACATCTCATCCACAAGTGCAAAGCAGAGAGATAGAAAGAGATAGAGATAGAGATAGAGATAGAGATAGAGATAGAGAGAGAGAGAGAGAGAGAGAGAGAGAGAGAGAGAGAGAGAATGGAGAAGGGCCAGTGTTGGAGGCTGAGGCTATGGCAGATCCTCTGAGGTTAGAGTAGAGGTCAGGAAAGGTCATGAAGGGGCACCCCACCAGGGAGATGCCTTGTCAACTATACATCTGCCATGGCTGCTTCAGAAACTCCTTTGGCCTTTTTTGCTTGTTTTTTCTTGAGACAGGGTCTCACTATAAAACCTCAATTGGCCTCAGTCTATGTACTTCACTCAGGCTGACCTTAGACTCTTAACTCTCCTGCTTCAGACTCGCAAGCAGCAGGACCACAGACTTGGGCTCTCATGCCCGCTGTGCCCCAAGTCCATTCTCAACCCACTGGGGAGGGTGCTAGCTACTGTATGCCAAGTCCCAGCTGCTTAGCTAGGTTGTGGTGTGCATACTTGTAATCCCAGCACTTGGGAGGAGGAGGCAGGAGGATGGCTGTAAACTGGAGCCTGGCCTGGTCTACTATGAGTTCCAGGCCAGCCAGAGCTACATAGTTAGACCCAGTCTCAAAAATCCCGAAAGGGAGGCCGAGGAAGTGACTTACTTAGTAGGTAAAATGCTTGCTGCAGAAGCATAAGGACTGAGTTCAGATCCCCAGCACTCGTGTAAAAGCCGGGCTGGCTTCAAGCATCTGAAAGCCAGCAATGGGGGCAGGGGGTGCAGAGACAGACCTGTCCATGGAGCAGGTTGGCTAGTGAGGCCCCTGAATTGGTGAGCCCCAGGTTCAGCGAGAGACCCTGTCTCAAAAAAATAAGAGCGTGTCTAGTGTGGTGGTGAATGCCTTTAGTCCCAGCACTTGGGAGGCAGAGGCTATCCTGGTCTACATAGTGAGTTCCAGGGCTGTATTAAAAGAAAAAAAAAAAAGTGGAGAGTGAATATACCATAAAGACGCCTGGCTTCCACGTGCAATTGCGCAAATTCCCACATAAACCAGGAACGAGGGAGGGCAAGTCCCTGACTCAGTAGATGATCGGTCTGGCTTTCTGGCTGCTGCGCTGCTCTGCCTTGTCCCCTTGGACCCTGGCTCGTTCGTGTGGAATGTTTCTCTTAGCTGCTGAGAATCAGGTGGGCAAGCAAGTCTCAGCCCCGACCACTCTGCTCGGCCTCCAGGTCACCGCAGGAGCAGCCTTCCCAGGGCCTTGCCGCCCCCCTTCCCCCCCCCACACTTTAGAAGATGCCCAGTAGGAGGCTCCGGAGGAGGAGCACCTTGGCTTATCGCTGTCCTGGCCTTCCGCTGTGCGGGAGTGGGTGGCGGGGCTTTTGACCTGAACTGTCCTCCCTCCCTGCAACCCCGCCC